TGGTGTGTGTGTGTGTGTGTGTGTGTGGGGGGGGGGGGGGGGGGGGCATCAAAATTTACCGAGCTGCCAGGCACATTAAGTTAAGGTGGCCTGTCAAGGCCAATCAGGGAGCCAAATTCAGATAAATACGATTGTTTTGGGGACAGGCAGAACATTTACTGACTACTTCCTTGATTGTTGATAGACCAGGAACCAGCCAAATCCAAAAAGCAGAAAACCAGTTATGATAAATCCAATTATATATGTGCCCTTAACATCCACAATTGACAGCAGCGATGGACACATCACCAAGTCTTCCAAGCCGATGAGATATCCAGCTGCGTGCGTGCCAACAGGGCAAATCAGCTCACCTAAAGCCAGTCTTCTCTTCGAAGAAATGTTATCACTTGCGTTGAGGGACCAACTGACCAAATCCATAGCAGAATTAAGATTCTGAAGATTTGTAGAAGAGAGGCTCTCAAGCAGTTTCACAGACAGAGCAAAGTGGAGAGGGAGAGAAGGGGAAAGGCCTCCGCCCTTGACAAGAGCAAGTGTTGAATATTTTCTCACTGAATTACAATTACTTCAAAAACATTGTTCTCTTTAAAATCTACTTCCGTATACTTGGTCTACTTTTAGCTTTTTGCTGCTTCTAGCCTCTAGTTAGTATTTTGGTACTTTTAGTTTTATCTGCTGTTTTGCTCTTTAGAGCTTCCAGTTTCTGTTCTGCCTTTTCTTTACTTTAACAACTCATTTTCAGCTTCTTTAGTAACTTTCCATAAAACCTCTAGCTCAGCATTCACACGGGATTTTAGCATGAAATGTAATGTCTTTCGTTTTGAATCATCAATGAATCATCTCACTGTTTGTTTTGAATCTCTTTGTGCACGGATCGTTATTTCAGTGCTTGTTTAAGGCTCGCATGCAGCTGTGCTTTCAGCACCTTGGAGGAAAATCTGACCTTATTAAAATGTTTCCTGTAGTTTTTCTTGAAAATGTTCTCTCTGTTAAATTAATGGGAGTTTGTTTGGACATTTCTCTCGTCAGCTTGCTCCTCTGCTGGAGTTGCTAGGCAACAGCAGCCTGGATGGCGTGCGGGGGCGCCACGTTCTTCGGACGCTTTTCAGTAAGAGAAAGAATCTGACGGGCGATTACCTGCTGAGGTGGGACTAAAAGATGCTTTATAATTGCACTTGAGACCACTTGAGTCGTTTTAACACAGCTGTAACTCTCATAATTACTGATTATTACCAGAAGCACGCTCCAAATTCTGATGGTTGTCTCCATTCATTTAATCTTTTGGTTGCTATTGTGTTGTAGTTTAATATGTCTATTTCTACTGGACATCAAGCATGTGTAAACTTTTTGTCAATAACCCATATTTGATGATGTTGTAATTTGTTGAATGAGTAAAGGGATAAAGAATGAGGTCATTTGCAGATTAGGAGTCCTCGCGTGCTACATGGATCCAGCAGACTTGGGTTTATATCTCCAGGACTCAGCTGTGTCCTCTGCTCTGTGGCAGCAGCTGTCTCAGTGCATATCCAAGGGGCTCATTGATGCTAATGGCAGGGTGAGGGGCACAAACACAAAATCTACAATGTTGGAGCTTTTTGTGCCCGACCGGCTCTGTTCAACTGTTTCATGGACTCTGTAGTTGTCGTCCTGGTTGATCCCAGCAGCATCAGCCAAGCTGAACATCAGCAGCTCGGCTTCTTCAGACCTGTCTGATCTCAGTGGTCTGCTGCCTCAGTTAGGAGCCTCTTTCCTGCTGCCTCTGCCTTCACAAGAGCTGCAGGAAATCCTGTCTCAGCCTGGACTTCACACATTTTCACCAGCCCAGGTCAGCATGGAGACACGTTATCTTTGCACGCTGACGTTTCTCGTCATTCTTTCTCCTTTGTGTCTTTTTTCAGCTGTTGTAAGGTAATGAGCTGTATTTTATTTTTTAAAGTCCAAATTGTCAAATCAGTTGTCGCGTCTCAAAGAGGTTTTTGTAGAGCCACGATGCTTCTTGTATGTATTAATCTGTGCAAATAGTTTTGTAAATGTGAAGTCCTGCAAAGTTCGGCTGATTGATTACTTTCTCTATGCTCCCCTCAGGCGTTTCAGATTTTGTCCAGAATCACAAAGGATGCCAACGTAAGACCTTTCCAGAACATTTGCATTGAATCTCAACCATTTGTGGTGTTGTCATTATGTTTCTCTCCTCCCACCAGCTCTCTGTGGAAACACTGTGCAGCCTGAAGCCGTTGCACTCTGCTCTCTTTCCTGCTCTGCTCACACACCTCCGGTGGTCTGACATCAGTGAAGAAGTCCACTGTCCGTGCTGGAGAGCCATGCTTACTGATCTCAAGCCTGGCCACAGAGCCATGCTGTATGATGCAATGCAGGAGGTGACGTTGCCCAGTTTCTTTTCTAGTGCAACACTTCTCACTTTAATCCTAAAAAACTGCCAAATCTGGGACTACGGCTGTCTTTAATTTCCTATTTTCTGTTTGGTTGTTTGTGGACAGGCGCTGCACAGAGACTTAAAGAACGTCACTCAGCAAGCAGACTGCCTGCTTCCTTTTGTTCCACTGAGAAAGCTGATACCGATCATGAATGGCGAAACCGTTTGGAGAGGCATCAACACATACAGAGACGTGCACTGGTCGCCTCAGCAGGTGCACAGTTTTCTATAATCTTCTGTCTTGTGTGCAGCAGAACATTTCAGAGATATGGCAGCAGTAGATCCCCCACCAGTTCTTTCACTAATCCTTACCAGCTTCAGGTTTTTGTCTCATTAATCTCTGAATCGATGGAGAGCTTCAGGATATCAATAATCCATTCACATCAGCTGCCATCAAGCTAATTACTTTGGATGTTGGACAATGGTGGCAGGAGTATAGCATCAATTAATAACGACTAGCTTAAAGGGATTTTTATCACAGCCAGGAGTGTCTGAAGCTGTTTTCAGACCTGAATTAAATCAAAAAGATGAACCCTCTCACTTTCAGTAAACTGAAATATGCACCGTCAATGAATATTATGATGTGAATGATTCTGTTTGGATGTATAACTTAATGTTTCAATGTGTGCAGTCAGTTTCTCTGTTAAAGGATTTTGAATTCACCCTGAAGTTGGCGCTGCATCATTATTACCCAGCATAATATAAATCTCATTTTGGTGCATTTAATTGGGAACTATTTAACTTGTAACGAATGTCTCGTTAGTAGCTAAGGCTTGCATAAAGTAGCTGATCTCAGAGTGATGTAGCATGAAGCTACGCTCCTCTATGACCCCTGACCTTTGGATCATCTTCCAGACTCACCATCAATTGTTTCCTTTAATGCTACTTTTGACTTGAATGATGTCTGGTGTTTTCACACATTCACCGTCCTTGGACACAGACTACAATCTGACTAATGTTTACCTTATTTTTCTGACGCTTTTAAGAAAGAAAAACAAATAATTAATTAAGTTGGTTTATTTGATTAACAAGTGGGGACATGAATGGTTTTGGTTGCTGTTTTCAATCATTATAATGAAATAATGTGAAATATTATAATGCGAATAGCATATTTCTTTCTCCAGTTTTTCAGAAGACAACTCGTTCCTTCAGAGACACCTGTTGAAAATGTTCTTTGAGCTGGAAGCAGTTTACTTCAGAGGGGAGTCTCAATGTTCCTAAGAGTAGTCAGAACATCTTCTGAGAGCTGTTGTTTTGCACAAAGTCTCTTTGCGTGGAAAGCAGTTTGTTTTGGACTCCCGAACCTGACCAGTTCGTCTTCGGCTCTGAACCGGAAAGCGGTTAGTTTTTGGGCCCGATCCTGATGTAGTCCGAGGTCCACTCGTTCAGTCCTGAGCAGATAAACATGTTGCTCAGTTGCTGTCATATTGTAAAGTTTGCAGATGATACAGTGGTAGTTGGATGCATCACAAACAATGATGAGTCCAGCTACAGGCAGGAGGTGGAACACCTGGAGAGCTGGTGCAGGAAGAACAACCTTCACATCAATGTGAAGAAGATGACGGAGATGGTCGTGGACTTCAGAAGGATCAAACACACCTACACCCCCTGAAAATAAGAGGATCTGCAGTGGAAGTGGTCTCCAGCTACAAGTACTTGAGTGTGCACCTGAATGACAACCTCAGCTGGAGCAACAACACCACCAGCCTGATGAAGAAAGCTCATCAGAGACTCTACTTCCTCAGGCGGCTGAGACGAGCTGGTCTGAGAAGCTCAGTCCTCACCTCCTTCTACAGGTGTGCAGTGGAGAGCATCCTGTGCTCCAGCATCAACGTGTGGCATGGAGGCTGCACAGCTGCAGAAAGAAAAGCTTTGCAGAGAGTGGTGAAGGCTGCACAGAAGATGTTTGAGTCAGTCTCCCCACCATCACAGACATCTACACCTCCAGATGCAGGAAGAGAGCCACCTGCATCATGAAGGACCCCACTCACCCAGCACACACACTTTTTCCTCCACTCGCCTCAGGAAGGAGGTTGAGGAGCATTTTGTAGAACCACTAGACTGAGGAACAGCTTCTACCCTGAGGCTGTTAGACTCATGAATCTCTAACCAGGAAAAATGACGGTGAACAAAACTGTAAAAATCACTGTAACGCTACTTGCTTGTTGATATGTGCTGCTGACTATCCATGATGCTGATCTCATGCTGCTGATTATTTCATGTTGCTGTGTTCATTAGTTCTCTTCTGCTCGCGCGGACTCATGTTCGTGCTGCTGTTGTTTTGGCGCATTGTCTTTGTGCTGTCGGTGCTTAGTGTATTCTTGGTGTTGTGTATTCTTACTTTAGCGAATGTAGTATATTCTTAGTTCATGACTCGGCTCTTACTAATGTTTTTCTTTACAATTTGTGTTTTTGTTGGATGTAACTGGGACCCTGTGTACATGGTTTCGTCCCACCTCATGTACCACGTGTGGTGCGTATGACAAATAAATCTCTCTGACTCGATTGCAATTTGTTCGAAGCAAAATAGAACTACAGCCTTTTCTCACTGCAAGAGTCACGTTCCCGGCTTGAAGTCTAAGCCGGCTGAAGGTTGCGATGGACGGAGCACCTTCTCATCAGCTGTTGCCCTCAGAGACCCCCTGAAGCTGTCACAGTGACGTTCAGCTGCCTTGAACAGTTCCTGACGAGTCCTCCTCGTGGTGTATCCTGGTCTGATCCACCAGAGAATCCCAGAAAGACGAGAGACCAGGTCCCTTCAGCACTGACCCGGTAAGGAGCAGAACCTGGTGACACGAAGGTCCGGTTACGTAATTTTAGCTGATGCGACTTGGTAAATCATTTCCTGGCTTGCAGTGATGGTAAATGACTTTATCTGATCACATTAAACAACTTCCTTTAACCAAAAAGAAACAAACTATTTATTAAAATAGTCAAACTAAATTTGTGCGCGTATAGAAACCAAAATAATTCCTGCTCAAAGAGTTAATTTTGCCTTAGATAAGAGAATTAAGCCTTGATTGATTAATTGTTATTGCTTGTTTATTATTGTTGTTGATTATTTTTGTAATAAAACTTCAAAGACAACTTTGGTCTTCATTCGGATGAATATTAATGTATCCCTGTAATTAACAGATTCTACTTCAGTGACTTGATTATTAAAGTGTGAATATATTAATGAAGTTGTTGTTGGTCAGTAAATTGACCATCTGGTGCTAAATAAGTAAAACAAACGTAGTGGCGTGCTCATGGAGAAAGTGTCACCCTTCTTCCTCCATCTCACCTTCGTGATTGCTACAGCGATATGTTTATTGAATTGTTCAGCTGAGTCAGTTTCTTTGGGTTTGCTGTGAACATTTATGATACTTTGATCAGAGCTTTATCTTTTGTTTATGAAGGTAATCCCTCTGAGACACGAGGTCTTTCAAGTAAAGTCCCTCTGACACTCGTCTCCAACCAGCGCACCCTGTCTGCCTTAAATCAAAGCTGCTTGTTTTGACTGAATAAGTACAACCATATTTAGCTTTTTATTATTATAAATGTGTATTTTTTTAATTGCTGGTCAAAATGTTGACTGAGGTTGTCTCGTTTCTCTGCAGGCTCAGTTTTTATTCAGCAAGATCCTTGACTTTAAAAACATTACCGTCAAGACATTGAGGTATTTCTGTCTATCGGGATTTTTTGTTTCCTGCAACTTTAACACAAAAATAATCAAACTCATGTCAAATTTTCTTAGCTTTGTTTTGATAACGTCCTCCTCTTCTCTCGTAGAGGTCTGGGTCACATTGCCGGCGGAATGAGTTGTGATTTTTTCAGGCTTTGGATCAACGACACAGGTTTGAAAGACTTGCTTCAGTTTGTCAGTGAACTTCCTGCAGGAGGCACGAGGCCTGCTCTGGTGAGAAACAAACTCCACCGTCACTCAAATGTTGTCACAACCTCTTATACGAAGGAATGAAAGTTAAAGTCACACATGAACATTTTTAATTTGTGTTACCAGAGAAAATGCATCGTGGAGGAGCTGAGGAATCGACCTGAACTTGACCTCGGTGTTTTAAGTTCTGGGTTTGCTGCTACCTTACCGTAAGAGTCAAATCTAAAAAGGTCTAATCGCCACAAACATTTCTTCTTGAATACTTCCATTATGGCTGTGCTTCTTCTTTTGCAGGGTGACGATGATAGAGAGCCTCTCCAACACGTCTGTCAGAGCCATTCTGAGCCACATTCACTCACACTTTGTTGATTTCCTGCAACTGCCACGTTACAAACAGACAAATTTAGCTGAGAAGGCCGTAGCTGAACTGGTAAAGCACCTACGTTAAAAACACAACGGCTGCATTTACGCGCTGTTAGATGTTAAAGTGTGATCAGTATTATAAATTCAACTTCCATCTTAAAGTGTTAGAAATCTCCCATGACAATCTGGAACATGAAATGTCTTTAAAACGTCAACAGAACAAACTGCAGACTTGAAGGAGTCCGATCAACAGAGAGAACAGAGGAATCTCTCTTTAGATGTTTTCCACACTGGTCTGATAATTAAAGTGTGAACTCTTGGCAGTGGTGGGATGTAACGAAGTACAAGTACTTTTTTACTGTACTTAAGTACATTTTTCATGTATCTGCACTTTACTTAAGTAGAGTTAAACGTGGGTACTTTCGACTTTTACTCCACTACATTTTACATCAAGTATCTGTACTTTCTACTACACTACATTTCTATAATACGTTGCGTTACACGTTACATTCACGTTGCGTTATTTTATTTTTTCGTTAGTTTGAAAGTAACCGGTGGTGAGAGGGGAGTTGGTCCATTGAGTCACTGCAAAGTGGGCAGGTAACGTTACACCTGCCTTCAAGGAGAGGTGGGACAATGACGTATATTCTAGAATAAACGTCATTGAGCTGGCGCACCCACAGCACCGCTAACACACCCAAAATGGATTCCACTGTGGAGAGTCAGCCAGAAGATACACACCACCCATGGCCTTATTGAAAGATTATTGAAAGACTATTGAAAGACTATTGAAAGACTGTTCAGTGCAGCAGGACAGATTCTCTCTCCCGACAGACTGGATTCAAAAAACATTGAAAACCAACCTCTTCTGAACTTGAACAATAAATTCTTTCTGCAATATTAAAATGTGTCAGTTCATGGATGTTAGGAGACAAGAGTTGTCTCCAAATGTCTCGACACTCAGGTCCAAGTTTTAAAAATGGTGTCAGGAAGTTAAAATATTGTTCACAATTGACCCATTACAAGGTCGACTAGACAGTATTTTAACTAGAGTTGATGACAAACTGGAGTTGAAATGATCAGTGTCTATTCCTTTGTCAGGTTTAATCCTCCTTTTTTTCAGACAGACAACTTTTACTTAAATATTTTACTGCAGTTAAAATGACACATTGGTTTTACTTTGTGTTAAATAAAAACTTTCAAAGGTATAAACATTCCTCTTTCTTATTTTGCTTAATGTCATTTAACTCTGCACAGAATTCTGACACAGAATCACAAGTCCAAGTGTGAACTGTGTCACAGAGTACACACAATAAAAACAAGTATTATCTGCAGCATTGTTCATTAAAATGGCTCAACACTATTAATGTATTACAGAAAATATACATACGGTAGGTACACTTAATGATACTGTAGACCACTGCATTAGGTGATACATTCAGCAAGTACTTTTACTACTTTAAGTATTTTTAAAAGCAAGTACTTCTACTTTTACTAGAGTACATTTTTGTCTGTTTATGTGTACTTTTACTTAAGTTTTGTGTTTGAGTACTTCCTCCACCACTGACTCTTGGTAATCCAGGTTCGATCTTTGCGTTCTTTGTTCTGCAGGGTTCTTCTCTGACTGAGGGGAAGATTGATGGCACCCTCCTTGATGTCCTCGGAGCTCTCTTGCCCTTTTTGGACAGGGACAGTCTGGCTCTTGTGGACAGAGGAGCGCTGGCTCTGCGGCTGGAGGACATGAGGAGCTTCTGTCTTCCTGCAGAGGCTCTCAAAGATATCAGTGCCGTTCTGACTCACAAAGACCTGTTTGGGTAAAGTATCATACCTGCAACAGATTGTAGTCATTTGTTTATTCACAACCAAAGATTTGTGAAATATGAAGGCCTTAATGTTTGACTTCTAGGACACTTCTGTTAGTGACCTTTATAATATAGATAATTATCCACTGCTGTAGAGTCTGCAGCACTCCTGCAGGTTCTTGCTGTCCATCTTGTAGATTTGTGTTGCAGCTCTGTTCACCTCCAGGAGTCAGACTCTTCTGACTGATCAATAATTCTCCAGGCTTTCTGAAGGTCTTTGAAAGTTTTTCTCAGGATTCTCACTCATTTTCAGCCCAGCGCTGGACCGTTTTCAAAGGAACATTTTTGTTTGTTATTCCGCTTGAATCATTCAGACATAAAAAGGCTAAACTCAAGGGATGAGTCAGTGACGTGCCGACACAGAACAACTTAGAAAGAAACGTTGGTGAAGATTCTCGGTCTTCCACGTCGTGATCAATCCAAGAAAAGTTTAAAAAAAACAAAAACGAATGGATTCTGAAGCTGAAGACGTTTCACTTCCCATCCATTTATCAATTTAAAAATGTCTGGAGTGTTTAGAGTTCCTAGTTTTACAGAACTGCACGAGAGGCCTGGTTGTGCACTTAGGTTCACATGCAGGTTAGACTGGAACCACTCGCCCCGCACCACGGAGGCTGGTTAGTCTGGCTCATGTTTTGGTCACCTGCATGAAGATGTGAATTGGAGTGGAGATGAATGGGAATCAGGCCTAAAGCTGCATTGTTAGTTTTTAAAAGTTAAAATCTGTCTTCCTCTGTTTGAAGTAGTTTTTTCTAGTTTGACATAAATGACTTCCGTCACACACACACACCCCCACCCACCCAAACCATCTGTCTTCTCTGTCCAACATATGAACCTTTAAGTCCTCAAAAGAGTGTCCCTTATCTGTGAGGTGTAAGTGGAACGCCTGACAAACTGTTCTCCGCTGCAGAACCGTGCAGAACAAACTCCACTTTGGAGTAAGCTGTTGGGGGAAGAATCAGTTGTGTGTTTCCTTGACTGATGAAGCCTTCTGGATGGAAGGTGAAATGTTTCAGCTAAAAAAAACAAGAAACTGTCCAGATGACCTGACTGAAAGATGTTGGATTGTATACCTGGATTATTGAGCATGGACTTTGTTCCTGCAGAACAAATAACACAAAGATCGAATCTAGATCTCCCCAAAACCCAAACGCTCAGTTTGGATTTGGGAGTTCCTTCCTTGGGGTGGACCAGCCTCCGTCGGTGGGTCCTGTTGGGTTTAACACATACTGGGATGTTGTGTGTGGAGAAAATTCTTCTGAGTCTTTCAGATGCTCCAACAATACGTCTGCACTGTATTTGAACATGACAACACAAGATAGGACATTTTTTTTACTCCTAGCTTTACATCAGAATGGAATTTGGCACGTTGCTTATTTTTCAAGTTATTGGAGGGAGTGGCGGCGCGGAGGTTAGAGAAGGTGGGCCTGTGATCGGAAGATCGCTCGTTCAACTCCCAGAACTGACAACATCAAAATCTGAGTGGGACACCTGTCTCCACCCTCATTTGCTCCACCCTGGAACCTTAAGCAAGGCCCTTAACCCCCACCGTCTGCTCCACCCGGGCGCCCAAGATGGCAGCTCTGCTCCACACAGAGGCCTGTGGTACGTCGGTGGGCTGTGGTTGCATCAGGAAGGACATCCGGCGTAAAAACAATCGCCAAGTCTTCGTGCGAGTTGGTTCGCTGTGGCGACGCCTGAAGAAGGGAGCAGCCGAAATAAATAAACTAAATTAAATGAAGTCAAATCCTGATTGTACAATGTTGTGCTAAAATCAGCTATAGCACATGTAAAACATTTGTTATAAGTAGTGAACTTGAATATTCAGGCCAATAAAAGGTAACGAGAAAGAAAGTTATTTTTAAGGTGAAGTCAAAGCCTTCCTGGAGAAAACGCGTCACCCCTGCAGTGACACATGGATTACACCCTGCAGCTGTAATTAGAGCGTACGTGTCCTTGTTCGCCAGAGATCCTTCCAAATGGCAGGTTGGGGACGTGGAGCATTTGGGCAGGCTTGTGTTCGCCCTCTTAACAAAACAGATTAACTCCATTCCACTGGTAAGCATCTCGAATCATCGACTCATATGAGTCATTTGTTTCCTGAAACGTCTCCTGCCAGCGTGACCCTGTGCTTTTTGTCCGAACAGACGGTGTTGAACAGGGACATAGTGGAGCAGGTCTTGGTGGGTCAGAGGCGCTGGCAGGACAGTGTGGTGGGTGAGGTCTGCAGCGGTCGGTGCATAGACCAGGATCTCCACAGGCGGCAGACTCAGAGTCTCCTTCGAGGGATTGTCAAAGCACGGAGCAGGAGGGCGAAAGGTAAAATACGTGCAGCGCCTTATGCACTGCGTGACAAATAACTATGACCCTAGTGCCAAAAACGTTATGATATTGTGGAAAACATGAATAAAAACAGAATGTAACTATTTTCAGAAAATCTTTTAAACGATTTATTCACAGTGAAACATTAAACACAACAACTGCTGAAATAAAAATACATTTTTTAGAGTAAAATAATTTTGAGATTTATGGCAGTAACACGTCACAGAGAGGTTGGGACGGAGTCATGTCTCTCACCATGGAGCATCCCCTCCTCCTGTAAACATCTGGAGCAGGAGGACCAGCTGCTGGAGGTCCTGCAGGGAACGTTGTCCCGTTCTTGTCTGATGGAGGTTCTAGATGTTCAGCAGGTTTTGGGTCTTTATGCATCAATTATTTTCTGTAGGTGAGCAGTCTGGGCTGCAGGCGGGACAATTCAGCACCTGGACCTCTCTTCTTCTCTCTGCTCTGAAGCCACGCTGCTGGAATGGATGCAGTAATACATTTAGCCTTGACTTGCTGAATTAAGCAAGACCTTCCCTGAAAAAGACGCCTGGATGTTGTTTTAAAACCTGTAGATACCTTTTTGCATTGACGGTTCCTTTCCAGGTCTGTAAGCTGCTTGTGTCAGAGGCAGTAATGCACCCCCATACCATCAGAGAGGCAGGCTTTTGAACTGAGTGCTGATAACAGTCTGGATGGTCTCTCTCCTCTTTAGTACAGAGGTTGTGGTGTCCATGATTTCCAAAAACAACTTCAAGTTTCAGTTTGTCTGGCCACAGAACAGTTTGGCTAAGGTCCAGAGAAGATGGCAGCATTTCTGGAAGTTTTTCCTCACGCGAGTTCTTCTTTGCACAATAGAGCTTTAACCCGCTCTATCATGGTACAGTGAACTGTGTTTACAGACCAGGATTTGCAGAAGTGATCCTGAGCCCATGCAGTGAAGTCCAGAGACCTGTTTTAATGCCGTGGCTCCTGAGGGCCTGAAGATCACACATCAGATATTGACCTTTTTCCTTGTCTTTTGACCTCAGTCATTTCTCCAGGGTCTTGACATTTTTGATAATATGTTGATGATGGGCTATTTAAAGTCTGCCCAGTTTTCCATTGAGGAACATCCATCTATTTTCTTTTCCCACTTCAAGAGGCGGGGGACACCCTGGACAGGCCACAAGTCCATCACAGGGTCACAAACATCCATTCACTCTCAGATCTGGGGACATTATAGGGTTATTTAGTCTGTGGGAGTAAATTGTATCCAAAGAAAACCCTGCAGGGGGAGAACATGTAATCTCCACCCAGAAAAGCCCCAGGCTGGGAGGCAACCATGTGACCTTCAGAGGCAACAGCTCTAACCACTTCACCACCATGCCTCCCTATTGAGGAACATTGTTCAGAAGTTGTTGCACAGTTTTTTGCTGAATGATTTATGACAGGTTCAGTCAATCTTATATCCAGTTCTCTTACTGGTTTGTTGGAATTTGATCTAATTAGCTGAAAAAAGCTCCTTCATATTATTAAAACTTGCTTTTACAGCTTTTTGTTGCATCTTCACAACTTTATTTATTTATTTTTGGTGTGTTGCTGCCATCAAATTCAAAAATACTTACATTTTTCCAAACAAATATTATAATTCACTGCTTTAAATATTTGATGTGTTCCATTGAAAATAACATTTGGGTTCATGACTTTTGCAAATCATCGCATTCTGTTTTCATTTACATTTTACTCAATGCCCCAACTTTTTGCACACTGGTTGCACATCGCATCACTAAACTCACTTGTGCATTTTTCAAGCAGAGCCGGTTCCAAGCTGCGCAGACATCAGGGGGACGTTTCCTTCTGCTTGGACATCCACTCAGCTCCGTCGTATGACAGCAGAAGAGCTGAACTTGTGTGTGGAGGTGTTGGGTCAGGACCGGACTCTGAGCTCCGAGCAGCGGCGGTCACTGTGGGTGAAACTTAGGCAGGTGAGGAAAACACCTCCCACTGAATTCCACACATCAGGACCTGATGGATCCTGTGGGATGCTCAGCCCTGTGGGATCTGCACACCATGTCTGAAACTAAAAGAATTACAGCATGTTCTGTTCTGTTCATTAGACAGATGTCATGTGGGTCAGTCAGAACCACCCCTGACCTCTGATTTATGTAAATATGCTCCCTTGGAGATTGTTATTCAAGGATTCAAGGATTTCTTATTGTCATACCAGCTCACATTTGCATGTTTATGGTACAAAATTTGGACTCAGGTCCCAGATCAAGAAGCCAACAATTAACAAATAAATAAATACAAAAGAGTAAATACATTATATTATATATATATATATATATATATATATATATATATATACAAACATATACATGCATACATTATATAAGTGCATCTTCAGCAGTCTGACAGCTGCTCTGAATGCTCCTCAGCCGCTTGCTTTGCTGGAACAGACTGTGTGCAGGATGAGTGGAGTCCTTCATGATGCGGAGCATCTTCCCCCTGCATCGTGATGTGTAAAGGTCCGAGGTGGTAGGAAGGCTGCTCCCCACAGTCAAGGCCTCATCCCTCATCAACATCCATATATTAGTAAAAAAAAATATGTATATGATAACATAAATAACAAATCTGTCAAGGTTACAGTTTTTTAAACATAAGTGGAATAAAGACAATTCAAGAGGAACAATAACAAGACAGTTTAGCTTTTCCTGAAGTCTTTTGGATTTGTTAATGTTCTGTGACTGAGCGGATGTGTTGATCCGGTTCAGTCCTTCAGTCCTGTGCGGGAGCTGAGAGCAGATCAGGTTCTGGCTCTGGGATCGGTGCTGACAGAGATGGGCGACAGAGAGCTGCAGGATGCCAACCTCACTCATCCAGCTGTGCTGGCACATCTGGGCACGTTGACAGGCTGGACTCCTCCAAAGGTTAATTTTGAACCTTAAAACTCCGCCCTGGTCTGAGACTTGTTGTTGTCTTCTTTAAAGTAAATGTTCCTGTCTGACTTCTCAGATGAGAGCGGTGACTTTAGGTGTTTTGAGGAAACGCAGGCTGAAAGTGGAGCAGTTAACAGCGGTGGACCTGGCAACTTTTGGCCACTTGATCTGTGGTCTGCACCCCTCAGAGATCAAACGACTCAGCCCGTATGACCTCAGGTCAGTTATAGTAAATGTAACCATGATCTGCTGTAACTTTGACCTTTCCAACAGAACTAAATGCTGATTGTTCCGTAATCTGAAAGGAAACAATCACAAAACCTGTCATGTGTCTAATGGCATTTCCTCTTCTTCTTTGGACGTTCCCTCTTCAGGGGTCGCCACAGCAAGTCAACCTTCTCCGTCTTACTCTGTCCTCTGTCCTCTGCATCCTCTGTCCTCACTCCATCAACCTCCATGTCCTCTTGAACTGCATCCATATGTCTCCCCTTTGTCTTTTTCCTGGCAGCTGCATTTCTACCAGCCTTCTACCAATATACCCACTGTCCCTCCTCTGGACATGTCCAAACCATCTCAGTGTGTCCTCTCTAACTTTATCTCCCAGTTGTTCAACCTGTGCTGTACCTCTGATGATCTCAGTCCTAATCTTATCCATCCTTGTCACTAAGGAGATCCTCAACATCTTCATTTCTGCCACTTCCAGTTCTGTCTCCTGTCTTTTTGTCCATGTTTCTGTCTCCAGACCATACAATAAAATAAATAATGCAGGCATTGCAATAAATATAAACAATGTGGACAGAGGTCAGCAACAAAATTAATAATGTGCTGATAAACAATACTTGTTCTGTATCTTTAAAATAATGAAGTCATTATCAAAGCACAAATGATACCTCAACTACAGCCCCCAATCTCAAATTAGTTGAAAAGGAGGCACTGTGGACGCATTCCCATCTACCTGCCGGCTGTGCCACTGATATCCTAAGATCTCCTAAGGAGATCCTGAAACTGGCAGGAAACATGGCTCGTGACAGCAGAAGGACGGGATCGTCCCCCGGCACCTGCTGCCGGCTGTCCGCAGCAACGAAGAGCTCAGCAGACTGCTGGAAGGAGTGGCCATCGCTCTGGGAGGAGTTCTGCCCGGGCGGTCCTGAAGCCCGGGAGAACCGAGAGGCCAGTCGAGTCTGGGTGGACGGATCGGACGGAATCTGCGGCCAGTTTCTTTTGATCCACTGTGGGACGGACATTTACAAGAGATCCTTCCTGCCTACAGCCATCAGCATCTATAACATCTCTGAATGAAACGAGGATAACGAGTTACACCATTTAATTTCCCTTTGGGATTAATAAAGTATTTTTGAATTGAATTTGAATTGAATTGAATTGAATGACCATTCTTGAGTGGGCTAAGTTTAGTTAGCTGTGGAAGCCATCTTGATTGGGATTGAATCCAAAAATTAACGACTATTCACCCATTGACTAATTTTGAAAAGTTTAATTAAAATCCATTCTGTGAGTCCTGATATATTTTGCTAACAGACAAATACGGTTGACTTTAGAACGTTTTCAGCAAAGATCTTATATAGTCAGCCACATTTAGAGAATGACTCCCAGATTTACCCGGATTGAGTTTTAGCACACCTCTAAAATGAACTGAATTAAATCTATTTGTGCATTTTTTAAGTTTTATTGGCTGTTGCGACCATCTTGAATTGGTTTGGTTCCAAAATAGAGGAACATCCTGGGATTATTTCCTGAAATTTTCATTAGAATTTGTTCTGCGGTTCATGAGATATTTTGTTAACTGCAAATGGTTAATGGCTAAATTGTAACCAAAGATCTTGTACAATCTGTTAGTCCTCATAATATGTGTTGGGGATCAGTCTCAGCTACTTCCACACCAAACTTCAGCAATGCGTATGTTTTTAAGGTCGGTTGGCGGCCATGCTGAATCAGGTTAAGTTAATCTTCTCCTCAGAGGAGTTTACAGTCTCTAACCTTTTCTCCTGCAGTGTGGCTGCCCTGTTCCTGCGGGACATGTTCTTGCCATGTTCAGAGCAGCAGCTGGAGGCTCTGACAAGTCGACTGTCCAGACCCGAGGCCTTTGGTCCGGTCAGTGCCTGGGGGCCGGAGATTTTTTCTGAAATCGGGACTCTGGCAGGTATGGTGGAGCATATCATCCCTGAGGGTGTAAACTTCCTGTGCTGAGATGTTTTCAAGTGAGTGAGTTTGTTTTTTTGTTTTTGGTTGAGAATGGCAGCTCTTAGAAGGATAGGCTCAATTAAAATGATCCCAGAGGATTTAGGTTTGAGGGTTGAGGGAGGAAGGGCTTTCTAGACTTTTCCTGGGATTTGAAACGAGAAACATTAATTATCTGTTTCTGCTCGGTGTCTGTGTTTCCAGCGGGCCTGTCTGATATGGTGCTGTCAGCTCTGCTGCGAGAACAGGTGGAGGGACTCACCCCTGAAGCTGTCGCCCTGATGGCTCCCCGAAAAATATCCGTGAGTTTTATCTGTCATTTAAAGGTCGTCAGTTCAGGCTGACCTTCAAGTTCAGTGGCGATGGGCTGTAGAACATTTTAACTATTGTCTTTTATTGTGTTTGTGACTTATGTAACTCTTTTATGAATGTGTGCTATTCACTTTTTATCTAGGTCCCTCTTTCAACTGAGACCTGGCAGAGATTTAATCTGGTTAAATAATGAAATGAACTCAAATAAAAACACTAAACTGAACATTAGTTTTTACACCGTTTGTGAAAATACCCCCCCCCCCATTCCATTTAACTATTGCCCAGCATTGAAGGCAAGAGGCCAGAACGTTTTTGCTTGTGTTTGTCTTTAGAGTCAGCAAAATATCTAATGAACTAGAGAACAGGTAAGTAACCATTTGATGTTCGTCTCCAACTGATTAGCTTTTGGCGAGAACTCCAATCAAGATGGCTGCCACAGCTAAGCAACATCAGTAAACACAGAAATGGCTTTGACACAGTCAGTGAGCGATATATGCATCCCCGTAAGAAACGTTAGGACCTAATTTACTTGTTTTTTTAGAGGATGCACTGGTTTGTGGAAAATCTCAGCTGTAAAGAGTACATTTAATTTTTTTAATTTTTACCTTTGTTTATACTGAGTCGCGAGAACTCGTTTACAAGAGAGATCTGTTCTAGACAGACAACACAAATTACAGACAACAATACACAACAACAAAAAGCAATTAAAACAAAAGTAGTGTCATAAAAACACTGTTACTGTTAGCAGAGCGGTTCTGTTAGCAGCGTGATGATAATATTTCATGATTAAGTTTCAGCATTCCTCTCACTGAAAAGAAATTTAAATAAATTGAAAAGTAGCTTAGTGGTTTTCTACAACTGGGAGCGGCTGATTAACATCTCTTAAGCTCAAATAATACCTCAGCTACAGCCCCAAATCCCAAATGAGTTGAAAAGGAGGTGCCGTGGATTCATTACCGTCTACCTGGAGGCGGTGCTCGAGTGCCTGAGCGCCAAGATCTTGGAGGTGGCAGGAAGTACGACTCGTGACAGCGGGAGGACCGAGATCGTCCCCCGGCACCTGCAGTTAAGTCCGCAGCGACGAGGGGCTCGGCAGGCTGCTGGGAAAAATGGTCATTGTTCAGGGAGGAGTTCTGCCCGGCATTCAGGCAGTCCTGCTGCCCAAGAGGACCGAGGGGTCTGTTGGGTCTGGGTGGATGGATCTGCATCTGCAGCCAGTTGCCCAAATGCCCAAAGCCATCAGCATCTAGAACAACTCTAATGAAACAAAGATGAGCTTCAACAACAATTAATTTCCCTTTGGGATTAATAAAGTATTTTGAATTGAATTGAATTAAATTAAGGGATGCATACTGCCTGCCACCTTCACACCATCATTTTAAGCAAAAAAAATCTTGTGCAATCTTGTTTGTGCTCATGAATGTGTCAGGGATGATGCTCAGCTACTACATGGAACAAAAATATAAACGCAGCACTTTGGCTTTTGCTCCCACTTTTCATGAACTGAACTCAAAGCTCTCTGACTTTTTCTGCGTACATAATTTGTGAGTGTGGTTACACGTGGTCTGCGGTTGTGCTGCCGCTGGGATTTACTGCCAAATTGTCTGAAACACCTTTGCTGACGGCTCATAGCAGAGAAATGAACATTCGTATCACAGACAACGCTGGTGGACATTCCTGCAGTCAGCATGCCATCTGCACGCTCCCTCAAAACCTGCAACATCTGTGTCATTGTGCTGTGAGATAAAACTGCACATTTTAGAGTGGCCTTTTATTGTGGTCAGCCTAAAGCACACCTGCGCAATAATCATGCTGTTCAATCAGCATCTTGATATGCCTCACCTGTGAGGTGGATGGATTATCTCAGCAAAGGAGACGCGTTCACTAACACAGATTTACACAAATTCGTGAAGCGTATTCAAGAGAGAAAGACCTTTGTGTTCCTAAAAAAGTCTGAGATCTTTGAGTTCCGCTCATGAAAAGTGGAAGCAAAAGCAAAAGTGTTGCGTTTACCTTTTTGTTCAGCAACACCAAAGTTTAGCTCAAACATCTGTAAAACTGACTGAGGTTCATTTTTGTGTTTGCTCGAGTCGATAAGCTGTGGTGGCCATCTTGAATCAGGTGGACTGTAACGCAATCTGGTGTAGATATGGCTCATTAAAATTTGACCACCGGTTCATAAAATATTTTGCTAACAGACAGACAAACACCTAGGCGTGATCACCCGCCCTTCATGGTTTTAATGTCATGATTAAAAATAAAGAAACAACCGTATTTTCCGCCGTATACGTCGCTTCGCCGTATAAGTCGCTTCGCCGTATAAGTCGCTTCGCCGTATAAGTCGCTTCGCCGTATAAGTCGCTTCGCCATATAAGTCGCTTCGCCGTATAAGTCGCATCTATTACGCATCACCGCTGACAACTCGGAAATGTGGGCCGGTGTTGTGCTAAAAATCGATTGGCTGCCAAAAGGCGGCCACGGGAGCGTGCACGGGAGGACTTTAACAAGATTTTAATAAGATTAACACTTAAAAATAATTATTTGTTTGCTCGAAATTATGATAAATGCGTAACTTTTACTTAATAAATGCACTTTGACGGTCATATCAGCTGCATTTCACCGGGGTGGCGCAGCGAAATGAAACTGATTTGACGTTTGATCCAGGCGAGCTGGACGTAGGTGGCATCAATGGCAAGCTGATTGTGTCATTAATAGCCACTTTTACCTATTACATGACACAACGGCATGCCATACACGAGTGCCATCTAGCAGCTGAAAATGGTATTGCTCAATATTTTCAGTCATAATGAATGAACGGTCATATCTCAGCCAAAAATCAATGTATAAATATGAGAATAAAACATAATTAAGTCGCTTCCGTGTACAAGTCGCAGAGCATGTAAATTATGCAAAAAAACTGTGACTTATAGGCCGAAAAATACGGTACGTGTTTTGGAATGCTTCAAATCCTGATCTGAAACGAAGTTAGGGTGATCCTAAAAACAAAAAAAACCTTGACGTTTTATAATGAGGAGGGAAACTTTTGATTTCCTCGTCTTGCCTTCGAACAGTCTTGACTGTGAAAATCTGCACAACTGAAAGTTGAACTTATTTGTCTTTGTTTCGTAAATTAGATCAGACATTCCAGCAGCGATAAACTGACAAATCTTTCCACTTTTCCTTGTAAACATATTCCATCATTTACAGAAAATATAAATATTTGCCGTCCCTCCTTTTTCTTCATGTGTTGAGTGAAACAGTGAGGAACAGCTTGAAGGATGATCATCCAGATGTTTTGTTCCTGTTCTCCTGGCAGGTGGTGTTCAGCGCGGTCCAGTTGTCGTGGCTCAGTACGGAGCAGGCGTGGGCGGTCACAGAGGCCCAGTGGGCCGAGCTGGACACCGACCAGAGGCACGCTGTTGGACTCGCTCGCTACGAGGGGGACGTCCTGCTGGAGCTCAGAGGTGTGTCCACACAAAGAAAACAAACAAACAAACAAACAAACAAAGTGTCCTGGTGTTGACTCTGTTTCTTGTTCTTCTTCAGGAAGAAACTCGTCTCCAGCTGCTCAGAAGTCGGGCGGCCTCACGTTCTGCTCCCTGGTTCTGTGCCTTTGGTTCCACCAGCTCGTTTAAAACAATGGAACAAAATTCATCTGCTCATTTCCTGATTTTACATTTGTGCTTCAAATAAATCATTTGAGCTTCCTCCTCTTCAGTGTGTTGTCCTCCTGCGCTGGTCCATCAGAGTCACCAGCACAATCTGTGTGTGTGTGTGTGTGTGTGTGTGTGTGTGTGTGTGTGTGTGTGT